TCTTTTTCTCTCTTTTTTTTTCTTTTCTTTTTTTCTTTTTCCTTTTTTCTCTTTTTTTTTCTCTTTCTTTCTCTTTTTTTCTTCTTTTTCTTTTTTCTTTTTCTTTTTCTTTTTTCTTCTTTTCTTTCTTTTCTCTTTTTTCTTTCTTTCTTTTTTTTTCTATTTCCTCTTTTCTCTTCTCTTTTTTCCTCTCTCTTTTCCTTTTTTTTTCCTTTTTTTTTTTCTCTTTTTTTTTTTCTTTTCTCTTTCTTTTTCCTTTTTTCTTTTTTCCTTTTTTTTTTTTCTTCTTTTTTTTTCCTTTTTTCTTTTTTCTTTTTTTCTTTTTTCTTTCTTCCTTCTTTTTTTTTTTCTTTTCTTTTCTTTCTTTTTCCCTTTTTTTCTTCTTTTTCTTTTTTTTTTTCTTTTCTTCTTTTTTTTTCTATTCTTTTTCTTTCTTTTTCTTTCTTTCCTTCTTCTTTTTCTTCTTTCTTTTCTCTTCTTTTTTCTTTCTTCTTTCTTTTTCTTTCTTTTCTTTTCTCTCTTCTTCTTTCTTCTTTTTTCTCTTCTTTTCCCTTTCTATTCCCTTTTTTTCTTCTTCTTCTTTCTTTTCTTTTTTCTTTCTTTTCTTTTTTATTTTCTTTTCTTTTTTTTCTTTCTTCTTCTTCTCTTTCTTCTTCTTCCCCTTTCTTTTCTTTCTTCTCTCTTTCTTTCTTCTTTCTTCTTTTCTTTCTTTTTTCTTCTTCCTTCTTTTCTTTTTTTTTTCTTTTTCTTCTTCTTCTTCTTTCTCTATTTTCTCTTCTTCTTTTCTTTTCTTCTTCTTTCTTTTCTTTCTTCTCTTTTTTCTTTCTTCTCTTTTTTTTCTTTCTTTTTTCTTCTTTCTTGTTCTTCTTTTCTTCTTTCTTTTCTGTTTTTTCTTTTTCTTTCTTTTTCTTTCTTTTTCTTTCTCTTCTTTCTTCTTCTTTTCTTTTTCTTTCTCTTTCTTCTTTTCTTTTCTTTTCTTCTTCCTTCTTCTTTCTTTTTTCTTCTGTCTTCTTTTCTTCTTTCTTTTTCTTCTTTTTCTTCTTTCTTCTTTTTCTTGTCTCTTCTTCCTTCTTCTCTCTTTTTTTCTCTTTTTTCTCTTCTTTTTTTTCTTTTCTTTTTTTCTCTATTCTCTTTTTCCTCTTCTTCTTCTATCTTCTTTTCTTTTTCTTCTTTTCTTTATCTTTCTTCTTTCTTCTCCTTTTTTCTCTTTCTTTCTTTCTTTTCTAATAGTCTTTTTCTTTCTTTTCTTTCTTTTCTGACTTCTTCTCTCTTTCTATTCTTTTTTTTTCTCTCTATTTTTCTTTTTCTATCTTTCTTTTTCTCTTTTTCTCTTTCTTCTTATCTTTTCTTTTCTTTTCTTCTTCTCTTCTTATCTTTCTTCTTTCTTCTCCTTTCTTCTTTCTTTTCTCTTTCTTCTTTCTCTTCTTTCCTTTCTACTTCTCTTGGGGGGGTGGGGCGATGAGTAGGGGGAGAGGAAGGAAAAGGAGGGGGAAGAAGAACGAGGGGGGGGGGGGAGGAGGAGAGAGGAAGGGGGAGGAGAAGGAGGGAGAGGAGGAGGAGAAGGAGGGAGAGAGAGAGGAGAGGAGAAGAGGAGAGGAGAGGGGGAGGGGGAGGAGAAGGGAGGAGGGAGAGGAGGAGGGAGGGGAGAGGGAGGGAGAGGAGGAGAGGGGAGAAGGAGAGGGAGAGGGGAGGAGAGGAGGAGGGAGGAGGGAGAGGGGGGAGGGAGGGAGGAAGGAGGGGAGAGAGAGGAGAGGGAGAGGGAAGGAGAAGGGGGGAGGGAGGAGGAGGGAGGAGAGGAGGGAGAGGAGGGGGAGGGAAAGAGGGGAGAGAGGAGAGGAGGAATGGAGAGGGAGTAATAAGGGGAAAGGAGGGAGAAGGGGGAGGAGGAGGGGGGGGAGGAGGGGGGAGAGGGTAGAGGAGGGAGGGAGAGGAGGAGGGAGGAAGGGGTAGGAGGAGGGGAGGTGGGGGGAGAAGAGGGGGAGGGAGGAGGGGGGGAGAGGAGGAGGGAGGGAAGGGGGAGGAGGGAGAGGAGAGCGGGAAAGGGGGAGGGGAGAGAGGAGGGAGAAGGAGAGAGAGGTGGGGAGGAGAGAGGAGAGGGGGGGGAGAGGGGGGAGGAGGGAGGTAGGAGAAGAGGGGGGGAGGAGGGGAGAGGGGGAGAGGGAGAGGGAGCGGGGGTAAGGGGGAGGAAGGGGAGGAGAATGGGGGGGGGAGTAGAGAAGAGGTAGGGGGAAGGGAGGAGGGGGGAGTTAGAGAGGGGATAGAGAGGGAGAAAAGGAAGGAGGGAGGAGGGGGTAAGAGGGAGGGGTTAGAGAGGAGAGGGGGAGGGGAGAATGGAGGGGGGGAGGGTGAGAAGGTAGAGGGATGGATAGTGAGGGGGGGGGGGGGATGGGGGAGGGAGGACAGAGATGGAAGAGAGGGGGAGGGGAGAAGAAGAGAGGGGAGGGGAGGATGGGAGGTAGTGGAGAGAGGAGAGGGGAGGAGAGGAGGGAGAAGGAGAGAGGCTAGGAGGGAAGAGATGGGGGGAGGAGAGGGGGCGTAGGGAGGAAGGGGAGGAGAGGGAGATGGTAGGTGTGAGGGGAGGGAGGGTGGAGGGAAGAGAGAGGAGGCGAGTTAGAGTAGAGGAGGGAGGGGAGGTAAAGAGGAGGAGTTAGAGGTTAGGGTAAGTAGAGAGGGAGAGGGGAGAGAGGGGAAGGGAGGGGAGGGAGGGAGGAGGAGGGGGGAGGAGGAGAGGGAGGGGGGGGGAAGGAGGAGGAGGAAAGGGGAGGGGGGAGGGGAGGAGGGAGAGGAGGAAAAGAATAGAGAGAGTAGGGGTAGAAGGGGGGGGAGGAGGGGGAGGGAGGGGGAGAGGGTGGGGGAGAGGGAAGGAGAGAGGGTGGAGGACGGGGTAGGCGAGTGGAGAGAGGGAAAGGAAGAGGGGGAAAGGAGGGAGGGGAGATGAAGAGAGAGAGGTGGAGGGTAGTAGGTAGTGGAAGGAAAGTAGGGGGTGGGGGGAGGAGAGAGGGAGGAGAGGGAGGAGAGGAGGGGAAGGAGAGAGAGGGGGGGGGGGAGAGGTGGTGAGGAGGGTTAGAGGGAAGGAGGGGGGGGAAGAAGGGAGAAGGAGTAAGAGGAGGTAGAGGAGGGGAGGGGGAGGGAAGAGAGGTTAGGGAAAAGGGGAGGGAGAAGGGAGGGGGAGGAAGAGTGAGAGGAGGGAAGAGAAGGGTAGCGAGGAGAGGGAGGGGGAGAGAAAGGAGGGGGGGAGAGAGGGGGGGGGGGAGGGGAGGAGGGAGGGGGGGGGGGGGGGGGGGGGGGGGAGGAGGAGAGGGAGGATTTTGAGAGAGGGGGGGGGGGGGGGAGGAGGGGGAGGAGGGGGAGGAGGGGAGGGGGGGGGAGGGGGAGGGGGGTTTGGGGGGGGGAGGGGGGAGGGGAGGGGGGGGAAGGGAGGGGGGGGAGAGGGGGAAAGGGGGGGGGAGGGGGGGGGGATAGAGGAAAGGGGGGGGGGAGGGGGGGGAGGGGGAGGGGGGGGGGGGGGAGGGGGGAGAAGAAAAGGGGGGGGGGAGGGGAAGGGGGGGGGAGGAGGGGGGGGGGGGGAGGGAGGGGGGAGGGAGGGGGGGGAGGGGGGAAAGGGGGGAGGGGAGAGGAGGAGGGGGAAAGGGGGAGGGGGGGGGGGGGGAGAGGGGGGGAGGGGGGAGGGGGAGGGAGGGAGGGGAGAGGGGGGAGGTAGGAGAGAGGGGGGGAGAGGGGAGGGGGGAGGAGGGTTTTGGGGAGAGGGAGGGGGGGGGGGGGGGGGGTAGGGGTGGAAGGGGGGAAGAGGAGGGGGGAGGGGGGGGGGGGAGGGGGGGGGGAGGGGGAGGAGAAAGGGAGGAAGAGGGGAGGAAGGGGGGGGAGGAGAGAGAGAGGGGGGAGGGGGAGGGGAGGGGGGAGGGGGAGGTTGGGGGGGGAGGGTAGGGGGGGAGAAGGGGGGGGGGAGGGGGAGGAGGGAGGGGAAGAGGGGGGGAAAAAGGGAAAGGGGGGAAAGGGGGAGGAGAAGGGGGAAGGGGAAAGGGGGGGGGAAGGGGGGGGGGAGAGGGGAAGGGAGGGGGAAGGGGGGGGAATGGGGGGGGGGAGGGGTTGAGGGGGGAGTAAGGGGGGGGGGGGAAGGGGAGAGGGAGGGGGGAGGGGAAAAAAAAAAGGGGGAGAAAGGGGGGGGGGGGGAGGGGAGGGGGGGGGGGGGTAGAGAAGGGGGGGGTGAGGGGGAAGGAGGGGAAGGGGGGGGGGGGAGGGAGGAGAGAGGGGAAGAGGAGGAGGAGGGGAGGGGGGGGAGGGGGGGAGGGAGGGGAGAGGGAGGGAGGGAGGAGGGAGGAAGGGAGGAGGGGAGAGAAGAGGGGGGGGGGGAGGGGGGGGGGGGGGGGAGGGGGAGGGGGGAAGAGAGGGGGGAAGGGGGGGGGAAGGGGAGGGAGAGGGGGGGAGAGGGGAGGGAGGGGAGGGGGGAAAAAGGGGGGGGAAAGGGGGGGGGGGAGGGGAAAGGGAGGAGGGGGGGGGAGAGGGGGGGGGGAAGGGGGGAAAGGGGAGGGGAGGGAAAAGGGGGGGGGGAGGGGGGGGGGAAAAAAGGGGAGGGGGGAGGGGGAAAAGAGGGGGGAGAGAGGGGGAGGAAAGGAGGGGGGGGGGGAGGGGGAGGGGGAAAAGGAGGGGAGGGGGGGGGGGGGGGGGGAGGGGGGGGAGGGGAGGGAAGGGGGGAGGGGGAAAAAGGGGGAGGGGGGGGGGGAAAAAGGGGGGGAGGGGAAGGGGGGGGGGAGGGGGGGAGGGAGAGGGGGGAGGGAAGGAAAAGGGAGAGTTAGGGGGGGGGGAGAAAGGGGGGGGGGGGGGGGGGGGGGAGGAGGAGAAAAAAAAAGGGGGGGGGGGGGGAGGTAGGGGGAAAAAGGGGGGGGAGGGGGGGGGGGAGGGGGAGGGGGGGAGGAGGAGGGGGGGGGGGAGGAGAGGGGGGGGGAAAAAAGGGAGAGGGGGGGGAAGGGAGGGGGAAAGGGGAGGAAGGGAGGGTGGGGGGA